TATATATATATATATATATATATATATATTTCTGTCTGTGTTGCTGTTGAAGAGTTCCCCTCACTTCCTGTCTGGTAAATCCAGGAGGGCAGGATTTAAGGGCAAATCAATCTAATGGGGCCCTGAGAATCAGTCAAAGTGTTAACCCTTTCCCACTCTATCAAAAACTAAGAAAACAAGTTCTGTATTCATATACACTTTAAGGTACTATTTAACTACTAGTTTTATGTCACTTTAGGCCAAGCATGTCAAACAAAGGGGGATTAAATTAAAAAGACAATGGGGCAGATTATGTCTACTAGGGGCCACACCTATTTAATTCCAGGAAAAGGTTATGGCCATTCGGAACTAAATATTGTAGAAAAAAACAATTGCAATTCATGAAGGGGCCTTTAAATAGTTCCTAAAGTATTAAGCAGCAAAACTATGTCAGCAAGTTTAACTAATCAACTGGAAAGGGGTTGGAGGAGAGGGGGTTGGGGCATTTTTATCTAAATCCATAAATCACTGAGGGCTGCAGAGAGCAAAGGAGAGTGCCACATGCGACCCGTAAAACACCAGTTTGTCATACCTTAGACTTTCTGTTCAGCCTTTAAATGGTGCCAACATATCACCAGTTACTATAACTGATTTATATTTTTTGAATTACAAATATTGCTGTCGTTAGGACTTGTAGGCATCTGTAAATGCTTGACAACGTGCCTTTTGTTTTTAAAATCTGCAAGGTATGCATGCCTGGAGTTGTGAGAATGGCATGGCTTTTGACTTCATGTATTATGTGGTAAGTGGCTTTGTTTGCTACCTCACAAATGTGAGAGCTATATCATAAGGCATTGAAAATGTAAACAGTTGGGGACATCCTGAAAAAGTCCCCAGGGCAAGTATGGACAAATGAATATGGAATTCAGGAGCCATTCTGTCCAATCCAGGAGCCAGCAGAAATGTTTTTCAAGTAGCTGGCTCCATTCACAAAAGGCTAGAGAAAACGTCAAAAGTTGACCGCCAGCTGTAATTTTTAAGCAGCATGGGCTACCTGGCCCTGCCCTAGGGAGTATGTTCAGAAGCAGGGGAACACAATCTGAACTATTGTAGATCTAATACTACTGCTAGACCCAACTGACTGGCTGGTATTGAAGCTCTAGTGAGAATAAACTAACATGTAAGGGTATGTGCACTTTTCTTGACAGTGACCAACAGAAATATCAACATGCTTACTAGAGAATGGAATAGCAATGTGTGTAAAAGAACTTCGGAGGTCTCCAAATATCTATTCACTTTACAATTGTATTACTCCCTTGCTTAGAGTTGCTTTTTAAAACAGAACTATATTTGCTCTTGCCACAATGTGCAAGTATGCACAACATACTTTCACATTGCGGTACACTTACCCAGCTGTTTGCTCTCCTCCAGCATTGACAGATCAGAGATGCGAGGGACTTTCTTTCATTGTTCTGTTCACTGCCACCACTACTGGTGTGGTTCACTGTCTTCTCCGTCCTTGTTGGTGGTTACTGATGGCATAGCCCATTCATCTTATCCATGCCAGAAGTATACACTGCACAGTGCACCATGCAAATTGCCAGATGATAGGGGAATGTATTACAGAATTCTCAAAAGGAGAGTTCTAAAATGGCAGCCTCCATGATTCTCAAATGACAGGTTCCCTTTAATTACCATAGCAGAAAAAAATAATGAAGGTGCAGCTTACCTTTCCTACTCTGCCCTTGCAGCATCACTACAAATTAAAAGGTACACTTTAAATAGCACTGACTAGTGATCAGATTGCCACCACTGTCCTGCCATTGCACTGATTTGATTATTTGCAGATCTAAACACTGATGCAGTGATTGAAGCCACCAGCATACTTATTTTGATTTAGTATTGTAGACATTGAATTAGCATGACAGCTAAACAACTAACATTTTCAGAAGAAGACATTGTCAATGGCATATTACAAATTCCTTCAATTTCTTTCAAACCATTTTCCTTATGTAACATTAGTAACTGACTGTGTGTGTCAAATTTCCACCAGACCTTGTGCATTGGCTAATAATTATTTAATAG